CTGGGCTGAGTGTTTTCATAGAAATCAGCCAAAGGGCCAGGGCCCGCTGAAGTTGCAGAATGCAAATGAGGGCCTTTTCTTTCTCTCTCTCTCTCCCACCCTTATTTGCATGACTAAGCTTTTATGCCTTTTTAAAAAATGTGTTTGTTTGTTTCTTGATTGTTGCTCTGTCTCCCATGGAGGGAACAAATTACTTGCCCACCGGGCAGGGCTCCAAATTTGGCAGCAGTCCAGGCCTGGCCCTCCAGCAAGGAGCCCGAGGACGGCACACTCACGTTGGGAACTGCAATTCCCGGAGAGTTTGCGTGGACCGGGATGTGGGGCTAATTCATTACGCTGGGCCCCAGCAGACTCCTTAAAGAGGGAGCTTTGATCCCAGCAAGGGAGAACAGAATGGAAGGGGGCAGAAAAGACTGTCCCTCCTTGTAAAATAAAATGTGGCTCGAACTAACAAAGAGCTCGAAGGGTCTCTCAATGAGGCTGTGGGTTCCCTGCGCAGAGAGAAGTTGCTAATCCTTCCTAGACTTGTGGCGCTCGACTCTGGCAGAGCCAATGCCTAGTTTTTGAAACAAATATTTTATAATTTTCCCTTTATGCAACTGAACTGAAATTCACAGATAATATAACCTACTTGCATGCATAGTTTTTAATCTCAGCATAGTATCCCAAGTATAATATCAAGGGGAAAGGAAAGGAATTTATAATAAAATAAAACATATTTCAACATGTCAGTGCTCTGGCATGACCAAGCTAGAAGATGGAATGAAGTCATCAGACGCTTGGCCTTGGACGCAGAATCCCAGCGAAGGAAGCTACGGACGCAGGCCAACAGTGGCTGTCCTGTTCTGGGCAACCCAGTGGCCACGCAAGGCTGTGCCCCTGGTGAGCAGCTGGTGAGCTGCCTTCGGTAGGGTCTTGAACAAAACAGAGTATAATCTTCCCTTTATTTACACCATGGGAACAGTCTGGGAAAAAACTCCGTTTAAAACAGTGAGAAAAATGTTTTTGTTTCTATGGAAAATGGAATTTGGTTCTGGGCCCAGATCATTTTAAGCAGCCTTTTAACCTACCTGAACATTGAGTAGGGCGTTCAAAATTGGCGCCAATGCACAAAGGAGATTGCATAACCTTCTACAGAGAAATCTGAACCCCAGGCTTGGGCAGAGGCCCCCTTCCAGGTGTGTCCTTCCTTGGGTTCACTCCCTTAGCCCTAGGGAACCATGTAGACTTTTTTTCATATCCTATAGTCACTCTTTTATCATAGTTTAATAATTCTTTATATAACATTTCCCCTGTTTTAAGTTACTGTGTAGTTTCTATCTGCTGATTGTGCCCAGGCTACTATAGTCTTGAGTGGGTAGAACCAGCAAGAAGCCAACTGATAAAGGAGAAATGTAGTTTGCACAGTTTAAACCCCAGCATTAAAGAACAGAATTTAGAAGATTGGGTTTGGGGATGAGAAACAGTAGCTTAATAGCCAGCACAAGGCCGTGTATGGTGGCTTATGCCGGTAATGCTAGCACTCTGGGAGGCTGAGACGGGAGGATTGCTTGAGGTCAGGAGTTTGAGACCAGCCTAAGCAAGAGCGAGACCCATCTCTACTAAAAATAGAAAAACTAGCCAGGCATGGTGGCATGGGCCTGTAGTCTTAGCTACTTGGGAGGCTGAGGCAGGAGGATCCCTTGAGCCCAGGAGTTTGAGGTTGCTGTGAGCTAGACTGATGCCGCAGCACTCTAGCCAAGGTGATAGAGCAAGACTCTGTCTCAAAAAAAAAAAAGCCAGCACAGAATCATTTCCAGGCACGAGCCACCGCGCCCAGCCTGAAGTAGTATTTCTTGAGCTCTAAAGTGCTCAGTGGTGGTAATGGATTCTCCCCACGGTGACCTATGTCCATTTGGTTAAGTCTGGTGCCTCCCTTTCCCTCACCCCCCAACCCCCAGTCCGTCAGCACTGCCCACCGCTCTGCCTCCAAAGCAGATTCTGAGCCCACTCACTTCTCGCTTCTCCACCACCCCCACGTTTATCCAAGCCACCAACACCTCTCAGCTGGAAAACTCCTCGCTGCCAGCCACGTGGTTACGTGAGCACCTGCTTTCCTTCGGGCTGTCTGGGATCCTGGAACGTGCTGAGCAGAAGGAGCCTGCGGGCCCACCCCTAGTAAAACCGCTGGGTGCTGAGTCTCCGATGAGCTCCTAACCTTGTTCTTTTTGTGTTGCTATAAAGGAATTCCTGGGGCTGGGTAATTTGTAAAGAAAAAAGGCTTATTTGGCTCATGATTCTGATGGCTGGAAAGTTCAAGGTTGGGCACCTGCCTCTGTGAGGGCCTCAGGCTGCTTCCGCCGTGGCAGAGGGGGGCCGCCCCGGCAAAAAACAACCGGGGGGAAAAGAAGAAAAAAGAAGGGGGGTGCCAGGCTCTGTCTCAGCCAGCTCTCCCGAGAACTAATGGAGTGGGCATTCACTCGAGGGCTGGCATTCATCCATTCATGAGGGATCCGCCCTGCTATGTCCCCAGACAAATCCCATCAGACCCCACCTCTGACATTGGGAATCAAATTGCAACAGGAGGTTTGGGAGGGACAAACATCCAAACCACAGCAGCTCCCCGTAGACGTCACTTCACACTTGTCAAGTCCCCGGCTCCCTGACACCCACAGGTTCTCTCTCTACTTTTACAAATAAAAATCAGCTCGTGTCACTCCCCTGCTTAAATCTTGCCCACGGTTTTCCATTGTGCTGAAAATCCAAACTCCTTACTGTGACCCACGAGGTCCTGCGTGACCTGGTCCCTTAACATTCCTTAGCACGCCGAGACCTGTCTCGCTCACAGCTGTTGCCCTCGCTGCCTCTCCCACCCTGGACACGTGCTCCCCAGCATTCAGCCCAGCTGCCCCCAGGGTTAGTGCCTCAGAGCCCCCCAACTACACTGGACAAAGCAGCGTTCCACGGCCATTGCTTTTGATCGCACCATCCTTCATAGCACTTATCACAGTCTGAAAATATTTATTCATTTGCTGTCTCTTGCTGTCTCTCCAACCAAAATGCACAAGCTCCATGAGGACGGAGACTTGTCTGTCTTGCTCAGTATTTTACCCGCAGCATCTAACACAGCCTGGTGTGTTCAGTGCCTAAGGGATATTTGTTGAATGACTAAATAAGAGGAAGTCCCTGTGATCGGCTATGGACAGCCTGCCCTGCTCGCCTGCTTCCTGCTTCCGGGTCCCAGCGAAGTCCAAGCACCTGCACAAGCTTTATTTACCATCTTCCTCTCCGGTACCTGGTGGGCAGCTCCATGTACGAGTCAGGGCTGGTAGTTGCAAACGACAGAACTCACTCCCGTAAATTTCAGCAAAAAATAAACTTACGAAAACATAGTGGGTAGCTAGGAGATTTCCCAGAAGGACCAGATAATTAAACTTAGAAGTTACAGAGCCAGGAACTTGGTCCAAAAAATCATCCCACAGAGCCATTCGCATAAAAATACGTCTGGGCACAGACGCTGCAGCTCCATGCCCAGAGCACCAATACGGGACTCCGACATCTGACGCGTATCTCTTGTCATGTACCCTCTTGGCCTGGGGTAGCTCTCCCCACTAGTGGCCCACCCCCCAGAAATGATTTCATGAGGCTGCTGTTTCTTAAAGTTACAAGATTCCAATTCAAAATGTATGTCTATGGCTGCCTGTGATTACCGCAGCCAGAGTCCTCGACCTAGCCCCGCCGAGTGACCGAGGAGGCTGCGTCACTGAGCAATTGGAGTCTGCAGGAGGGGAAGGCGTTTCTATGGTGTAAAGTTTGCCCGACGTAAGAAAGTAGTTCAAAGTTTCCATATGGCTGAAAAAAAGGGCAAACGGTCTCTAAATCCTTTAGGCGGGTGGCCATGGAAGAGCTGTTTCCTCCCGTGAAGCCGCTGGCTGGTGCCACACCAGACTCCACAATAAATCATCCTCTCGTTATGTCTCTCCGCAGCGGTGACGGGCAGCGCTGAGCCCACGTCCCCGAAGGCCTTTGTCTTTTCAGATGGCTGAACTGTCGAGGTGGCAGCTCTCACCGTCCCTGCTCAGCAGGAAGTGACCCTCAGGGCTAGGGCGCTGTGGCTGAAAGAGTTTTATGTGCTCGGCTCAGCGGCAGTGCAGCGAGGAGACCGCGGGCCCCCTGCTTTCCACGCGCGGAAGGGGGAGTCAGGCAGAGACGGGCTGCTCTGGTTTTAAGACTCACCTGTGCTCCCCTCCGTTCTCTCCTTCAGAAAATACTCACTGAGTGTCAGCCGCACCTGAGCAACGTGCTGGCAGCCAGACACCCAGAATGTGCCAGGCATGTGGCGCAGGTGCTCAGTAAACCCTTGTCAGGCGAGGGAATGAATGAATGGACAGCTTTGTCATGGTCTAATAAGGTTTGCTGCCTTTTCCCTGGCAGGTGAATTGGGCACAGATCCCCACGCCTGTGTGCTCACGGTGGTCTCGTGATGCCTTGAACTTGAAGCAGATGTTTACTCTTGTTTCCCTTTAAATGCCAGCTCCCTGGCCAGACCCTGAATGCCTTGAGGGCAAGGTCTGTGCTTTGTGCTTCTCCGCATCCTCCCCAATCTTCGTACTTGGCTGACTCTCAAAAGATACCCCAGGATTGGATTGGACAGGGTCATGTTGGGGTGGGCTCGGGTGGCTGCCTTGCACTGCACTGGGACATGGAAACCTGAGCCGTCACCTAGAAAGTTGGGTCACTCTTGGGCTGTTGCAAACATCTCACTCTTTCGTCGACGGCCGCTTTTTGGCCTTTGGCACAGCCCGGATGCCTTTCCCGCTCAGACCCACTTCTGGCGCACTCCTGCTCGTCCGTCTATCGCTGTGACTTGCTCACTTCTCCCGGGCTGCCCCAATCCCACCCTCGGCCCCAAAGCTGACCCTCCCACCCCTGTGATAGCACAGGTTCCCCAGCGCCTCGCTCGGGTCTTTCAAACGATGAGCCACACACACAGAGAAATTGTTTTTTGAACAAATGATCAAAGCAACTATAAAAGGAGGTGGAAGGAAACCTAAGAACCAGACAGAGAACAAGCAACATGTTTTATGCCCATGTTCCCTGCCAGGACGTCAGCCCCACGAGGCAGGGATGCTCCCATCTTCCTGGATCCGGCCCCGGCCTCGTATAAAATCCCACACCCAGAGGCCTCAGAAAGCAGGTGTCGGCTGCAAGCTCGGGACAAGGCCACGGAGGGAGAGGAACTGCGTCTGAAGGGCGTCCCAGAAGGCCCAAGAGGGAGGCAGGTCTAGGCGGTGCTTTAAAGAGCAGCAGGCGGCTCCAGTTCTCTCGGCACACGCTGGCCGAGGAGGGACGGTGCACGGGGTTCTGTCCTCAGCACCGGAGCCAGGGCAGCGACACCACCTTCTGATGGGAAGAGAGACATCAACAGATCAGAAACAGTCGACGCAGAGGGTCCCTGACTCAGCACGGTTCGACCTAACGATTTTTCGGCTGCACGATGGTGCACTCCCAGCACATTTGAGGCAGGCGAGGCTGAGTGTGGCGTTGGGTGGTCAGTGTATCTCACGCGTGTTCAGCTTACAGTAATTTTGACTTACGGCGGGTTTGTGGAGATGTCACCCCTCCGAAACTCGAGGAGCATCTGTGACGTCATATGAAACGTGCAACGGAGAAAATAGGGAGGGATGACCGCATCGAAGAGACGCAGAGGTTATATTAGAGGGGGGGTCAGGAAGGCCTCTTGCGGGAGAAGACCAGGGAAAAGATCTGCGTGCGTGAGGGGGAGGAGAGAGGGCGTCCCTTGGCGGCTCCCCAGGGACAGAGGAGGGGACAGTGAGTGGGACCAAGCGGCATGTGCATGAGTTTGGCCTGTTAGGGGAAGAACAAGGGGCTGTGTGGTGGCCGGGGTGAAGGGGGCTGGAGAAGCAGCAGAAGAAACCGAGAGAGACGCACATTCACGGCGTGTGGGCTGACACACGGGCTACGCACCATCGCACATTCCAATTGCACCTTGGGGTACTTTTTAGTATTTTTGAGTATTTGACAGCAATTATTAATATTCCAATATCATAAAACCCTTCAGGAAAAATGCTTTAGACAGAAGCTCTTCTCTGTATTGGAAATATGTCCTCCACTGATTAGGGTATAAGGATTTTAAATGAGCGATCTCGTCCTCCCCACACTGACCTTCTGATCTATTGGCAAAATCCTAATTTGTCAGGATGCTAGTTTCCTACAGCAGAGCACGAAACGTCCCGGGCCCTTTCCTGACCCGCTGCACACCCTTGGCGATGATTCCTGCCCCTTCCTCGTAAAAGGCCCAGAGCTATGAAAATGAGCCCTAAACCCAACATCAAAGAACGGTCCCTTCCGTTCCAAGTAGCCCACCAGAATACCTGGAAGACAGGAAACCTTCCCTGTGCCCGTAGTCTCACAAAGGAACCTCGGCATCTCGCCCCGGAGACCGGGGTCCGCTCTCTTTATGAGCTTATCCCGTCAGGGTCTGTTGGGTCTGGTTTTGTGCGCGGTTTAACAGGATTTCAAACTTGGGGGTGGCCTCTTTGGAATTTTTTCCTTTTTGATGCTTAAAAATACCCCATGACACCAAAGAAACAACCGATGGCTGAAGAGATTAGAATCACACGAGATGTAATTCCCTTTCGTACAAACGTTGAAGGGCGATGGGTCATCTCTGGAGTTGTGATTTTCCTCGTGCAAGAGCCAAGAAGCTGAGAATTTGGGCTAAATAAAAATGGCTATGAATAGTGTGATCTCAAGGAATCCACCTTGAGGTTCTGGTTTCAAACCCTACAAACCCAAAGCAGGGCTTTGATGAGACGGGAGCACTATGGCGTGCGGTCAACTGCTGGGCTACAGGGTGCAGATCAGAGAAAACACAGCAGGTCCCTTCAGGGTATGATTTCTGCGCACGTGTGCATAGCACAGTGATTTGCAATGTGTATATCATTGTCTTATGGGCAGTCTTGAAAAGTGGAGGAGTTAATTTTGGGTTGCACAATGATTGAAATTACTAAAGGTTAACTTTTTTTAAAGACAAAATCATTACTGTCACACAAACGTTACATGAGTATGTGTTAACGGTTTTATTTAAAGTAGCAATTAATGAGAGAACCAGGAAGGTTTTAAAACCAATTCAAGGGGAAGTCCAAAGAAGAGATACATTTAACAGGCTAACAGGGATGCTTAAATGCACTTGATCAATAGATGCAAAACTGGTGTCTTCCGTGGGGGAGGAAGGGGGTCAGCTGAGCCCCTACTGGACATAATGTGCATTTCTTTTTTTTTTTTTTGAGACAGAGTCTCACTTTGTTGCCCAGGCTAGAGTGAGTGCCGTGGCGTCAGCCTGGCTCACAGCAACCTCAATCTCTGGGGCTCAGCGATCCTACTGCCTCAGCCTCCCGAGTAGCTGGGACTACAGGCATGCGCCACCATGCCCAGCTAATTTTTTGTATATATATTTTAGTTGGTCAATTAATTTATTTCTATTTTTGGTAGAGACGGGGTCTCACTCAGGCTGGTTTCGAACTCCTGACCTTGAGCAATCCGCCCGCCTCGGCCTCCCAAAGTGCTAGGATTACAGGCGTGAGCCACCGCGCCCGGCCTCATAATGTGCATTTCTATGCACAGCAATAGCCTGCATTGCTACCAGCTTGCTACAAATCTGCCTCTCTGTATGCAGCATTGCAAAATATTCTAGCCAAAAACAATAAAAGGAAAAGATCAGCTAATCAATACACCTACTAAATTTCAAAATCTTTCCCATTTTTTCCTTCCAGGGGCTACTGCATTTAGTAAACAGGAGACCATGATGTTATAACTCCCACCGCCCGCAAGACAGGCCCATACAATAAATAACTGTGCTGCATCCCCGTGACTTTTAAATGTCCTTCTACATATTCCCACAGATCAAAACTCTGTTTATAATTAAGTGAGCCTCAAACCTAACTCCACAGGAACACAAAGCATTTGTTGCAACTTTTAATGTACATCGAATGCATTTCACTATGGTATCCACCCCGCATCCGTTCTTTCATTTCCTGTATTTCTTAGACAGGGTGGCCTCTGGTTGTCTTGCTGCTTTTAAATCCAGGCTCATGCTTCAACGGCAGGAGCAAACATCTCACTGATTTCTTACGCCTTACAGAGCAAGCTGTTCCCAGACACATATTTATGATATGTTAATTTGGTATAATTCTATTGTTTTGTTATTTTTATAAGTAATATTCTACAAGTTAGTTTCCTATTATTTCTCCTTGATGTTATAGTTAAGACAATAGTCTGATTTTTTTGGATTTTGCATACAGGTAGGTCACATTATTTATAAATTCCATTTCAGGAGTGTGAGGCTTTACACAACATCTGTCATAACGGTGGGTGCTGAGTCCGTCTGGTTGGATTGAGAACCACTGTTCCCCTGGAATAGCACCCTCAGGTGCTCCCCTTTCTCTAGTAACAGCACCCCAATTCTCTCTGGGGGAGTAAAAGCTTTCCCTGCTGGATACTGTCGGGAGCACCTGCCAATCAAGGTGGCTGGTCCCTCCCAAGGGATGGGCACTGAGCCAGACCTGGCCAATCTGTGCTCCCCTCTTAGAAGCTACAACTTAACGGGAGGGACCAAAACATCAAAAACACATGAACCAGTTTACTCTGGCAGCCTGCCTCCATTCCTGTCGCTTACAAAGAGCCCCAACCCAAAACAAAACAAACCACAAACAGAAAACCAATAAAAGACAAGCCAAGTCTTACTCGGATGTCTAACCTAAAATATTAATGATGATGCACTTGAAAATCAAAGGACTTAATTTGGGGAAAAGAAACTTTTCATTTGTCCTTTGACAAAGACTCTCTCCTTAAACAAACTGCAGTCAGGTCCTCTAAGGCTTCTTTTTCATTAGACCTTAACCTTGGCCCCGTCCTTGCCAGAGCCACACAGCCCAGTTTCAGCAAGAACCCTGCTCAGTCCATTTGGAGAGACTCCCCCAGCCCACCTTGACATCTGATCCCCCTGGCCGTTTGGTCAGGCTAGTGAGACATCCCTCTTGATGTCTCCTTAGTCATTTTCTACCTGCACTGACCCCCAACCCGCTCCTTAGCTGTAAATCCCTTTGTTGTAATGGGAGTTAAGCCCAATTTCTCCCCCTATTCTGATAATCTTGACACCTATTGCAATAGTCCTGAATGAAGTCCCCTGTCCCCATGGCATGTGTGCACAGCTGCGGGTGGAGCTGGGGGCACAGGGCACAGGCAGGTTAACTACTGCAGATAGGCCGTAGGACAGCATGGAAGGAGGTGCCTAAATCTAATTCTTGTAAAACAGTCACATTCCAAGGTCTCCTTCTTTGCAAAAAGTGATAAATACTTATGCAATGTGAGCGACAAACCCCTCATTTTTCTTGTCTCTTAAGTTCTGGATTTGCTGTCTGAAGCTTTCCAGAAGCTGAGAGCCCTGGTTCAGCAAAGGTTGTTTTCATTTGCATTTTGAATACACCAGAGACCAGAGACTGCAGTGCCAGTCAGCATGAGAAACTGTTTTCTCATACAATCCTTAATTTGTGTGGAACGGCATCTTACTCTACTAATCTTTGTAGTTCATTCACAGGTTCCTGGTGGGGCTCTGGTGGCAGCACACTCACAGGACTAGGGTGACCTGTGGATGTGGGGGCTTCGTTCTCAAGGTCGTGTTCGTGGGAGATGCCTCCGACTTGTCCCTCCTAGGGAATGAGTTCCCCTGCCGAGCCACCCTTGGACCAGAGCCACAAAGTCCTGGTCACCTAGGGGATTCATTTCTTCCCCATTGGGCCAAGTTCTATAATTCTATGAATTTGATCTCCACCTCCTCCAAACTGGACTCTAAATGCCCAAGTTTAACTTCAGTGGGCAGAGCTTCTGGTCATTTAACCAGACTTTGGCTGGGGGCCACTGGGCAAAGGGCAGAAGCATTATTAAGCATTATTAAATTAAATAGCACCTGGCTTTTCAAATGACCAGAACACAGAAAGGCTTAAAGGGCAAAACAAGTGTTCCTGGTACCTGACTCTTCATCTTCAGTCACGCCCGGGGGCAACCACTTTTGACGGTTTCTGAAGTTCAGTATTTCTGGCAGCAACCGACTCCAGAGTCCAAGTTCTTAACCATACGATGCAGTGCCTCTCTGAACAACAACAATAATTGCAGCTTGCTACATCTCAGACACATTTCTAATTCATTACTAATTAAGTGATTCCTCACTGTAGCTCTTGGAGGTAGGCCTGTTATTATCTCCATGTTACAGGTGAGGAAACTGAGGCACAGCAGGACTGAGCCACACAGCTGGCAAGTCCACAGCAGAGCAAGGATTCAGGCCCAGGCATTGGAGCTGCAGAGCCCACGCCCTTTACCTTTTCCCTGTGTGTATCCGTGAAATCACATTCAAATATACACACAACCACTGGATAGTGAGACTTCCATGTGCCGCCTAACTCATTTCGTGAGCCACCAGCGGCTGCAGATCACAATTTTGGAAGAACTATCCAAACCTCAGATGTTTCCAACGTGGGGCCCCCAGCCTGCTCACCTGGGTGGGCCTGCCCAATGCTGATGGAGCCTTGTTTCCATCTCAGGGCCCTGAGCACACTCCTCACCTGGCTGTCCCTGGGTGCAGGGCCCCCACTGCCTGAGGCTGTGCCCACCCGGGAACACATCCAGCTTTGGGGCTCCTGCCCCTTCTCCTGCTCTCTCAGATCAGGGCTCTAGTTCTGACAGCCACCTCTTAGCTGGAGATGCCAAAGCAACTAGCACTCTGCTTTCCTCCTGGATTTCCATAATCAGGTACATGTAGCGCCCTCACTCTGTGCCGTAATTCCTGACTGTGCTCTGCCTTCCAAACTTTCCAACTCCATGCACGTCTCTTCTGCCCCCTACATTTTTAGGGAGGTTATTGCAGATTTTGGCTTTGCCAGACATGAGTCTGGCTACAAAAATGCAATGGATCAACGCCCTCCTTTATGTAATCATTTCTGCCTCTAAAATCAAGGGAAGGCCAGGTGGGGAGCTCTTTGGGGTCATTGTAGAAACATCTGCTCCCTAAAATCACACAAATGCCTCATTGTCCTCTGCAGAATTCCAGGCTCTGCTCACACAAACCCTCTTCCGAGACGCCTCTCTCCTGCCCTGAGAGAGCCTCTGTCATCGCAGACTCTAATACATTCTACACCTCTGCAAACAGGTTGTCACAAACACTTTGTATTCTCTTGCCCACTATCTCTTTTCTTTTCTTCAAACACTACCCTTTGTGGATATCCACTTTCCCAGTTTCCGGTCCAGATGACTTGGTGGAGCCCGTCCTCCTCCTCCGGAATGGAAGACATCCTGAAGCCCAACCCAATCAGTATGTACCATTAATGTGACTACGGTGATTGGTCCATGAGTAGTCACATGGCCTAACCTGGTCCAATCAGAATGAATCTTGAGCCCAGGAAGTGATGGTTCTAGAATGGTCAAGTAAGCCTCTATTAGGCCAATCTTCTCACACACAACAAATATAAACTCTGGACAAAATTTAAAAAAAAATTACGTCTAAAGCACAGGAGAATGAAAAAAAGCAGACAGATACGGGAGGGGCATTGGTGCTTGGACAGCTTTTAGCTTGAGGGGAGGTTCCAGTCTGCAAAATGAGAGGTAAAACTCTAACCAACCCGAAATCAGTAGTCTTATTAACTTGGAGAACCAGAAGATGGGGTTCTGGGCAACCACAGCCATTGGAAAGGAGGAGGGAAATTCCAAAAGCAGAGGAAGATATGAGATAGGGAGCCCCAAGTTTGATGTATAAACTCTCCAAATCTCTAGCTGGCCCCTGAACCACATGTGTGTGAGGCAGATCCAAGTAGCCCAGCCAAGGCTGCCACAGAACTGAACTAAATTGGAGCTGGTTCCCACTGCAGGAGATGCAGACCTTTCCAACTTGAGTTCAGCTGCTTTAACTGCCTGCTTGAAACAGCAATAGTCTTCACAGGCACAAAACAAAATCCAGAGTTAACTACATCAGTCACAATATCCAGGATATCGCCTAAAATCACAGGAAAACATGACCAAGTTTCACAATAAAAGACAACAATAGAGACTCATCTGAAGATGAGTGATATGCTCAAATCAGCAAGCAAGGGTATTATAAGTATGCTGAAGGACATGAAGGAAAACTCACTCATAATGAATGAATAGATAGGAAATTACAATTAGAATTAAACTCAGAATTTTTATATGAGCCACCAGATAAAGTGTGAAGCTAATTCTCAGGCAATTCTTTTGACCCAAAGGAAGAGCTGTAAGCTTCCTGGGACCACAAAAAAGAACCTGAGAATGAAACAAATACAGCAGAAAGAAAAATCTAAGAATTAGAGAAAAACCTGGTATTAATGGGATTAAGTGCTTCAATCTAGTCATACCTGAAGCCAATATATCCCTTGGACTTTAATGTGAATCATTACATTTCCCCTTTGTTCAAGCAACTTTGAGTTGAGTTTTTTGTCACTTTTAGTAGAAAGAGCCATACTGATTGTCTTAGGTAGGGTCCTCCCAGAAGCAGGTGCTAAGACAAATTTGAGTGAAAGTAATTTATTTGGGAGATATGAAAGCAACAGCAGGAACATAGGGAATTGTGATATGAAAAAGGAAGGAATCACTCCAGGGTGACATAATGAGCAGGTTCTAGAATAGGCAACTAGCGTTCAATGATATTGGAACCTCAAGGAGTTTGTGAGGAACACACCAAGTTATCCCAGTGGACGGGCAGGAAAGCTGGGATCGTTAGCCACCATCTGAATCCCATCACTGATTGGGGGCCGTCCCAGGCCACTAACTCTCTGGCTCCTCCAGCCTGCCCTACTACACTCAGGCGAGCACACTCCAGCAGCCAGAGAAAGTGCTCGGGCAGAGAGCTGCAGGTGCTCACGGTAGACGTCATTGGCATTTACAGAGCGGTGAGTGCCAAGGAGAGGCAGGTGGGGCTCCGACAACACCTGCAAGTCAGTGCACAGGACCGGCTTCTGTGAAAACGAAATCAGCTTGACTTGAACCATCCTATCCCGGTAGATAATAAGGTATCTGACACACAGTTGGGACATAGTAAATACTTTTTCTCCCCGGGTGGGGCAAAAGGAATATTTCATATGGTTGGGGAGGGTGGGACAACAACAGTAACAGATCTTCTACTGCAGTAACAGATTTTCTACTTATTAGAAACTAATGGAAACTCAAAATGAAAGTGATGAACTGGCTGACTTTAAACAATACCCCATGTGTTAAGAAAATGGAGGATTTCCTATATGCTTGAGAACCAACATCTTACTTAATGAGTGTTTTGAAAGGTACTAAAAACCCAGGGCATTTCTTTGCTTTGCCTTTCATGGAACTGAAACTGAACATTTCTCTTATGAGCCTCGGCACCTGGAACAACAAGGCAAAGGGCAGATACAGGATAATGTGGGCTGGATCTTGGGCTGGCAGGGCAGCTGCCCACAGGTGGAAGAAATAGCCCCTAAACAGGTGTCGTGCCCTTCTGAAAATGCATCGGCACCTGGACATTCATAAGACAAATGGGGAGGGAAGGGTGAGTAGTTACCATGTAACCAAAGGAATACTTCCAACTCAACCTACATTTATTGAGCAGCTCTTAGAATTATCTATCAGTAGAACTGTAGAATTATGTATTTGATTTGGCCCAATGCCCTAGTGCCTTCATTTTGCATGTCTCCAGAATTTCATCCACTCGTTGAACAAATACTTTCCGAGCATATACTATATGCCAGGCACTGTACTAGGTGCTAAAGACACAGCAGTGAACAAGGCAGAGAAAATTTTATGTCCATGGAAGTTTGAATATAGAGAAGAAGGTGCTAACAGCTAATAATTACAGGGCACTTACCTTTGCTGTGCAATACACTATGTGCCTTACAAGTGTTCTCCCATGAAGTTCTCCTACAATTATTCTATAATGTGGTGATCTTATTATCCCCAGCTTATGGGTGGAAAAAAATGAGGCATAGAGAAGTTAGGACTCTTGCCCAGGGTCAGGGAACCAGGAGGAGGTGGAGCCCAGATTCAAACCCTGCCCTCTGGCTCGATTCCAGGCTCTTCCTCAATGCTCTCTGCCCCTTCTGCAGGGTGTTTATTCTGCAAACTTTCATTAACAGTCCACTACGTGCCAGGTACTGTGCTAGGCCTTGGGGCTGTAGTAATGAAGGAAAATAAATGTGACTGGGGCTGGCACAGAGATTACATTCTAGTCATAGTCGGCACAAGCCAATTCATCCGTCTGTTTATCCACTAACTGAGTTATTACTAAATGACAAATGTGTGGCTACCGGCTCTAGGGGTGGCAGAGATGAGAAAGACCTGCTCCCAGCCTACAGCAGAGCAGTTTGGGATCGTGTAAACTGACGTCACAGCCCCAGCCACTGCCCCTGCTGGCGAGTGGAATGAAGAAGACGTGTGCATTCAGGTGGGCCACCCTCCCAATCCACACGCGTGGGCGGTCCCGCCATAGAGGGCAACACTTACATGGCTACTAATAGTAGATTCTGGAGCTTAAAGTTCACGTGAGGGGGAGGCTGCCCTGTGCCTCGCTCAGCCCAAATCCCAGGGAAGGCAGCGTGAGGTGGGAGCAGAGGTATCCAGTAAGCAGGGGACACCAGTCTACAGAGAAGCTCTCAGACAAACAGAGACCGAGTCCTGGTGTAGAGGAGAGGAAACCCAACCTCGATGCTGCCCTGCACGTGGATGGTCGTGGTCTGAATGGGGTTAGCCCTCGTAGATCTGGTGAGATCTCCCTCCGCCCAGGGGAAAGCCAGACTCGTACGGCACAACGTCAAATCCATCTGGAATTCTCACCGATTCGGCACAACAGGAAGGTGTGCGCGCACGCGCGCACACACACACACACACACACACACACTGAATGCATTCCGAACGCTAATCGAGGTGGCCGGGACACCTCTGGATTCTGCGCGGGTGTGGCGGATGCTGTTGCTGCCACCCAGCACTCACAACCCCGCCTCACAAGGACAGGGCCTTGATTTCTCAGCAGTGCCCCGCTTCCTGCACCCCAGGGCCTCGGGGAAGCTCGCCCCACACCCCTCGCAGCCTCGGCGCCTGCTAAGGGTGACCCTCCTTGTTTCCCTGGACAGTGACTCGCTCACAGGCACACAGGCAATGTCACCGAGGCCGAGGAGACGCAGGGAGGAGTTTGCTGTGGTTTCTAGTAAACACCCTGCTTGCTCTTCTGGAAAAGTTTCCAAATGTGACCTGGTCTCTCCTTCTCCAGGGACGAACTCCAGCCTAGGATGGAGCCAGAACAGAACAGCAGAGCCAAATGGAAGAGGTCCGATCCTTGGAGACATCTTGGGATTGCTGGATCACATCTAGATTTACACGAACCCACATACTTTGCCGTTATTTAGGCCAGTTTCACTCCACGTTTCTGTTATATCCAGATACCAAAAGGCATCTGGGTACACAGTTTACTTGCGTGTGCTTTGGCGAGCCGTGAGCTGATTTTCATCTTGTTCCACATTTTCAACAAGAATGTTCAAAGTTCAGACCATGTTTGGGAGGCGCCGCATACCTCTCCATCGCCAGAGAGGCCGTAAAAGGAAGAATGTTCATTTTGAAAAGGAGGTGATTTGTAAACAGTTGATATTGGCTTGTGTTTTGAAAATATAATGCTCCCCAAAATTGATCAATAAAACTCCCAAAAGTGCTTTCGACCATGCTAAACTGAGACGACCTCTTTCTCTGGCAACTGGGGCACTCTGCATTCTGGGAATCTGTTCGCTGAGTTTCTTCGAAGGATCTCTTTAGCTGGGGCCTCGTCAGTTCTGCCCACCTGACTATGCGGAGATAGATGCGTGAAGCCTGACATTCACACGGGGGTTTGGTTGTCTAGTGTGACCACGTGGATGAGGCCGAGACAGAGAGAGAAAAAGGAAATGCAACCCCCTCTCCCAACTCACTGTCTCCCTAGTTTTTTCTCTCTTCCGTGAAACTTCCCCAAACCAACTCTCCAGAATGACAGTGTGACGGGGGGAAGGGGACATTATCATCAGTTGTTCCACACCTCAAATCCAGACTCCAAGAATTCCTTGTTGCCCTTGGAGCTATTTTAAGGCTTCACATTTAAGCCAGACTTTAATTTTCTATACATTTTCCAACATTTCCACTGAATGTAATCCATATGGATAGATTTTTTTTTTTTCTCTGAAAAGAGAAAATACGACTTCGGTGAGAGGGCTGGTCTTGTGGGTGCGTCCGCCCGTGGACCCCCTGCGCGCTGGGAAGGAGAGGGGCTGCCTGCAATATCGATGCAAAGCGCTCCAGACACCCATGATTGTCTGTGCTGTGCATGAATAGCGGCAGCAGCTTGCAAGTGGGCAGGACTTGGCGGGGAGGCCCCAGCGCAAATCTACCGCCACCCCGACACGCTCCGACAAAGCGCCTGTGAAATCTGCCTTCAGTCACTAATTTCACACTCCAGGGACAGAGCTGCGAACAGCTCAGAGCACATAATTCTCATTTTAATAACAGTTTCCTTAACCTTCAGACACCCTTTCGTGGCATTTTTTCCCACCTTTTAAAAAATTAAAACGCTCCGTTCCTTTAAGGTTTAATCGCGGGTTTACTTTCGTTTAATCATCTCTTTACCGTGTTGACTTCGCAAACAGCAGAGATTTTTATTTTGTCTTTAGATCATTTGTGGAGCTTTTTCTGGCCCGCTTACATTTTTAAAAAACAGAAATGAATCGCTCACATATTCTGCATTCATTTTTTCTTCCCCCTCTCCTGCAGCTTTCTAAATAATGTAGGTATTTTGGATGCTTCTGTCATGAGCACGGAATGCATTTGAAATGCCCTGCTAAAATATGCTTTTTATCTGCCTTCAGATCATAAAATGAGTTTTCTTCTCTAGATTTCTGCAGACCTGAGAAATAGCCTTCTCTTCTGGAATGTGTTGCAAGACACGGGGGAGGGTTCTTCCAGACAGAGGGAAAAGTGAGGATCCTGAGTTTACTAAACTGATGAAGTTGACAGACGGGCAGGCACCGCCCCAAAGAGGGGAATTTGCAAGATTGCTGGTGGCTGGATTCATAAACTCCAAAAAGATCTATCTTTATTGGGAGTCAGGGTTTGAGCATTCCTGTTAACTCAGTTGGCTATTCCCCTGAATGAGTCAGACATAATATCTATTAAGATGATTAAATATTATGAAAATCTGGTTCAATTGCTTTAGAAAATAAATCACGGGTTTCTAATATAAATTGGCTTGTTGAGGTTTTTTTTTTTTTTATTTTCAATAAGCCATGGTTCTCATCATAGTACTTTTAAAAATAGGATTGGTTTAGCAATCAGGAAATTAGAGGCATGCCTCTCAAATTTTAATTCCCAGTAAAACAACAGATCCTGTCTTTATTTAAAGATTGAATATTTTGTTCTTTGTGGATTTTCTTGCATTGGTTTTTATTTTTAAACTATTGCATTAAGATAATATTTATCTTAATTTCTCAGAGTTTTGGCAGTCCTTCTCCCCAAAATTTTGTGCCCAAGGCAAGAGTCTCACTGGACTCATCTTAGTCCCAGCCCAGAGTTCACTTCAAGTCCAAGGGTGAGGCGAGTTTAGGGGTCCCCTTCTGAAGACAGGAGCTCCAGGGTCCCCAACCTTGTCCTCATCAGAGGGGGAAAATTTGGGAAAGATTTGAGAGTCTATGGCTGGCCCTGGACTCTCAGCTCTCCTGAACCTTACTGAACATCGAGAGTTTAATCCCAAATGGGCTGTGACACAACGCCATCTGCTTTCCACCCCCTGCCCGTCCTGCCCTCCCCCCCACCCCCCCATCCCCATCCACTCTGTGACCTGCGGTGGGGTCAGCATGGCACGTTCAGTATCATCCCACGTTAGGACCACCAGCTCCAGGAAGTTCCTCATGTGAGGGTCTCTCGGATGAAACCTCCAAACGCCAGGACCCCAGTGTCACCCCCGTGTGCACATTCAGGTCCCCGTGGGGCCTTGGAAGAGGGGTGGGATCTCCAGACTCAGCTGTGAGCCTTGGGCAGCCCTCCCTGCCTCTGCCCCGAGACTGATGTACAAGTCGGCTTTGGAACTCTCTGCAGTGTCCGCTACAGCTACACAAAATTGCCAAAAATCTCCAAAATGCCAACCTTTCAGATATCTGGGGATGTCTGCAAATGGGTGAGAGATTCCCACCCACCCCCATTTTCCCAGATGATCAAAGCCCTGAGGGTATTTGGGACTGGTTATTATGGTATCAAAATGTTCTTTTAACAACCTAACACATATTACCCTTCTTTTTGCAATAACTATAGGGGAACGTATACACCATGGCGCTGGGACGATTGTGCACATATCGACATAGGCCACGTAGGCAGGGCTCGACCACGGCTCCTCGGAGTCTTGGCAGAATGGGAGACCCGCAAGGAGGTGCCCCGGCCATCTCCCACCCGCCCCCCCCCCCCGGAGGCTGTCACGGGACAGTTTCTCATTACCAAGCCGGTTCTGATGAGCTGTGGGTTTTCCATCTCCCTCTCGCAACACAGCTTCGGACTGTAACCCTGCCGGGCCACCCGCTAGAGCCGGCTCACTGGCAGCAAGGTGTCCTGCTGTCACCGGGGGTTCTCAGGGTCGACTCACCCATACGGGTTGAAGAGCAGAGGGACCGTTTGCCCAGAATAAAATCACAGCAGGGCAACCAGAAGGAAGAGGAATGGATGCTGGGTGGACAGAAGCAAAAGCCGCCCACCCTACATGTTTTCTAATGAAGGAGGAAGGAAAAGAACTGAATCACAGTGTCAAACACACACTAGGGAGAAAGAAAAGGAAGAACTAATACAAGACAAGGAAGGAATGTGCATGTGAGTTCACTGTGCTTCCCAGAAAGTACGTGCAACGGAGGATTTGCAAGCATTTTCTTTTTCTTTTTTCTTATAATTTGGCTGGGGGAAGAATTATAAATATGTGCGACATGCAAATGCCTTCCACACATTCAATGAGTACAAATGAACTTGTGCATCAGAAAATATTTTTGGAAAGTATAACATATTACACAAACAAAAGGAAATGTGGAACTTATTGCCCCAAATGCTAGAGCTATTAAACCCATATTTTCCTTGGGGTCCTGTTTCCTTAGAGTAATCACGTTTTATTTACCTGTATTTAAAGATTAAAGTTTTGGCATGGCGCCTTAATTCCTTAATGAAGAGAAAGAATGTGTATCTTGGGATAATGATAACCAGCAACTCCATGATTCAAAGCTCTTTGTGGCTCTTCAATCTAATTCCGGGGCTGGGCGATACATTTTAATGTGCCTGCAACAGGCTCCGATCAACAGAGAGCAACTTACAGGCAGCAGAGCCGACGGGCTTGCCGGAACGGATGGAGATTGAAGAGAGAAGGTTCCAGCTCTTCCCGAGGTAGAATCTTGGGAAGGCTCTCCCCATCTCCTGAATGCAGGGCTGGGCCCAAGGGGGAGAGAGAATTTAAAACACAACAACAGCAATGAAAACGACCCACTGTCGTTGCAATAATAATAACAAGCCTATTCCCTTCTCGTTCTGTCCCACTTGACAGTTTGTCCATCTTCCACTGCTCTCGCCCTCTTCCACAGAAACGCTGGCCTCCTCTCTGGTCCTTCAAATCTCAGGGCCAATTCCATGCCCTGGGCCTTTGCAACTACATCCCCCTGTCGCCCGCCCGGCTCCTGCACGTCTAACTGCCTGCCCTGCCCCTGCGTACTCTGAGCCCTACCTAACATGTTGTGTTAAGCTACCAGGTTTGTGGTCATTTGTCACGGCAACCACAGGAAGCTTCCCACCTTCCCCCACACTTGGAGCTCTCTGCCCCCAGCCTGCCGTGTTTCTCCACGGCATGCACTAGCAGCCGGCACGACGTCTGTTACTAGTCTGTCTGTCTCTCTCCACTGCTTGGAAGTCTGTTCCATGGAAGCAGGAATTTTGTCTGTTGGTAGATCCCCCAGTGCCTAGCACAGTGCCTGGCACATAGTAGGTGCTCAGTAAACATCTGTTGCAAGGCAGCACCTGAGTCCTGAAGCGGAGAAGGAGCAGATCCTGGCGGGGGGCAGCGGAGGGGGCTTCCAGCAAAGACAGCAGGCAGGGTGACACTTAGTCACAACTAGCCCCATCCTCCCTGATGGCCACTGTAGGAGCCACAGAAAAACTTCCTCCTCGCTCCTCACAGAGAAGGCCCTGCAATTGAAGCAATTGGAGCCAAGGGCTCATTCAAGAGTCCCTTTAGTGAGGGCTTAAGAGCAAAAACTGTGACACCAGGCCACCTGGGTTCAAACCTCAGCTCTGCCACTCAATAGCTGGGTGACTTAAGGCTAGTTCATTAAGCTCTCTGTTCCTATTTCCTTATCCGTAGAATACGGACAATGATAGTGCCCATCTCACAGGGCACTGGATGTGAGGATGAAATGAGCTAATCCACTTAGCACAGTACTGGGCACACAGCATGCATTGTCTACTGTTACTGTTTGGGTGGAAAAGTTCAGCAAGTTGCAAAGGATTCCACAAAAGCAATGAGAGCATTCCGAGATGCCTAAACAGATACGCGAAGGGTGTGATTAGAAAACAAGCCTAGCTGGCACCAGAACAACTTTCCTGGAGCCTGGGCCACAGACAAGGAAATTAATGACAGTGTGATAAAGCTTCGAGAAAAATGAATTGCCCGGCCGCCTGCCCTCC